ACAAAATAAAAAACACTGACAGTATGAGCATCAAATTTCGACTTCACGGATGGTCATCGAAAAAACTTTTGGCCAGCCATGCGCCCTCACGCGCCCTGGACTGAAGGCAAAAACTTCCAGCGGACGACTTCTGATGGCGAAACTTCACCGAAAGGTTGGTCTCGAGGCGGCGATTTGACTGGTGTGGAGGTGAGATTGAAAAATAATATTTATGTGTAAGGTTGTGATACCATACTACAAACCTTAGGATTTTGGATGAATGAATATTCACAAGTGAGGATACCCATATATATAGACTTAGGGCCTTAAGTAAATATGGTTGGGCCTATAATAGTTAACAGGAATATGATTTTCAAAGGGATGGTTTTAAAAGTGTTTAAAGTCTAGAAAAGTTGAATAATTAAGCTTTCTTAAGAGATAGGGTGATCAAATCATTAGACTAAGTCTAAGCCAATGAATGTTAGCGAGAGAGAGAGAGAGAGAGGAGAAATCGATGATTTAATCATGCCTTCACGATCTATGTTTATGATATGTGAATGAGGTTGATAGTTGAGAATTTATATGTTATTAGTCATGCCTTGATGTGTGAAAAACGTTCTTATAAGGACTGGTTTAAGTGGCCTTTGTCGGGGTTGAAATTGATATAAGTTTCGGTATGATCATTTGTGAATTCGCTGGTTTTTGTGTCTCTGTTCATGATCTTTTATGAACTCAAAATCGCATTTCGTGGAAATATTTTCTGCATATTGTAGTACTTTAATTTAGCTTTCTGTGAATATAAGAATATTGCAAAAACCTTTTGTATTTTGGGAGTTACATTCATCTTAAATTTGGTGTGCAAGCAGCTTTCTGAAAACCCGACAGCAAGTATGTATTTAATGTATGATCTGTTTTCTGTGGACAAACGTGCTCAAATGAATTTATGGTCTTCATGATATTGTAGGGTTGTTTCTTAGCTTTCCATACATGTAACGAGTTGATGTCGATAGTAAGAGATATACTTGTTTTACTGAACCTATGCATGTGTTGTATTCCATATTTTTAACAGAAACTAGGTCTGAGTGTATGTCGATTTATCTCCTGCAAAATGACTTTATATGCAATTGAGATATTCATAAAATGTATTTCTATTTGTTTTATTTCAATAGGTTCAGGAATCATTTAAAAATATGATCGGAGTAGTGAGTTGTACTGGATTTAGTAAAACAGCGCATGAGTTAGTTTCTATTTTCAGATAGCATCCATGTTTTGAATGTTAGCTGGTTTTCACCATTTTAATGACCTTATATGCTTCTGAGTTTTAAATGAAAGTTTTAACAACATGTCTTAAGAACAATCTAAGACTTGAATAATTTCCATATAAATTACGTGTTGAAAGTTGTGCATGTTTTAAAAACATTATGCATGGCAGATTTTGACGGGTTCCAAGTATGACTTCTTAATTAAGTCGAGTCTTCTCCTTAATGTGCATGCTTATGTGATATGAATGAGCCATATAGGATTACGTGATATCAAGATTGAACTTTAGATGATTAGGATTAGTGTCTTCAAGCAAGCTAAAAATTCAATTAGTCCGAAGACTTTCGACGAAATTGTTTTCAAAGATGTTTAAGAGAGGCTTAAGTCAATTGATTTTTCCAAGACTAACATAAGCTAGATAAGCCATTAAAAATATACTTCCCCAACGATGTAGATAATCGAGGAGTCGAGCCCTCCATTGTCTAAGCTTTTCAAAAGACCAAGTCAGCCGCTTATCGAGGTGGAGAATTTCTATGCTATGTTTACATTCTCTATAACTGCTTATACACTATGGTTGAGATATGTTGCTTGTATAATTTCTGTGAAGTCTTTCGGCTTGTGGGCAACCATTCGTCGAAAGCACATGTTATCTATTAAAGTCTTTCGACTATGTCGGGAGCATATGTTATCTATGAAAGTCTTTCGGCTTGTGGGAAACTATGTGTTTGGAGCACATGTTATCTATACAGTCTTCCGACTCGAGGGAAACCTTATGTCGGGAGCACAAGGCTATGCGAGGTTATTCATGTACCATGTTGATGTCATACGATATGTTATTATACTGAATGTCTATGTAATATGTATTCCTCACTGAGTAAGTAGAAATGCTCACCCCTATTTAGTTTTCCACCTCCTAGATTATTTGAGTTGGCAACGGAGCGATGGCGAGGGTGGTCAAATAGATAAATGAAATCGCTTCGTAATTATGCTTTAAGTTATTTTCAAAATGAGACAATGCATGAGTTTATTTTTATGATGATTTAGACGTTGTAAGTGCTAAAGATTGGCAGTAAATCGATGAACCTTCTGATGATCACAGAGTCCATAAATTCACGGAAGTATTTAAGGGAAGTTTATTTTTTGTATGAATAAGTTTTGATTGTGTTTAAGTTCAAGGGACTGATTAGGTATGTTATTATTGTGGCATGACTTTGGGATTGAGGGGGAGATACACGTTCCATAATCTAAAAAGAAGGAGGATCGCGAGATTCACCTTCCATAATCGAAGATGAAGAAGTTAGAGAGATTTACATTCCTTATCTGCATTTGTCTTGGGTGAAAAGACTTTCCAAAGGATGTTGAAGATAAAAGGAGGACGAGACCAGAGTTGAGGATGACCTTTTTTGATCGGGATTTTTGAGTTTTGATATTTTTCTTTTCTTGAGTGATGGGACGAATACATAACTTCTTTGTAACAGAATGTTTGGAGGTTCATTCTGATTTAGTTTGAGGGATTCGAACTTGAAAAATCTACAAGGGAGTTGTGGTCAGATAAGTAGTTATGTGAATCATTATTCAAGTAGAGTGTAGAGAGAGTCTATACTGTAAACCCTTGGATGATGTATGAGTTGTTCACATTAATGAAAGAGATCTGAAGGGAGAGTGGGACGCTCTCCTGAAGGTTCATTTTTTTGTGAAAACTACTTCTGCAATTGTTTGAATATTCATTACTGTCTGTTCGTCTATTTACGAGCATCTCTGGATACTTGGTTTTTAAGTATCAAATTACAATTGGCACCAGAGCGGGTTTTCGTCTTCTTTACGAAAGATCCTAGGACGTGTGTTACCCTCAAATCATGAATCAAGAAAGCGGATCGATGTCCAGGCCCCCGCAATTGAACGGTTCGAACTACTCATATTGGAAGTCTATGATGACAATCTTTCTGAGATCGTTTCGAAAAGGCGTGTGGGAAAGTGTTGAAAACGGCTAGGAGCATCCAGTCATGCAAAAAGCACCTGATCAAGGTAAAGAAACAAGGAAAGTTACCATTTCTAAACCTAAGGACAACTGGACTGATGCTGAGAAGCTTCAAGAAGAAGCCTACTATCGTTTCTTGTATTCGATTTTGATGTCAGTTGATCAGACAATACACAAGATGAAAGTTCACTGCAAAATTGCAAAAGATGCTTGGAGGGTCTTACAGCGTCAATTTGAAGGTTCAACAGCTGTCAAAGTGTCCAGACTTCAACGGGTAACTCTCGAATTTGATGAGATCAAAATGAGGGATGAAGAGACAATTGACGTATACTATGCCAGATTCTGTGATCTGGTGAATCAAAGTATGATTCTTGGATGTTGATGAACTTCTTGGAGAGCTCAGAACGTTTGAGATCAACAACAATTATGACAAAGTCAAAAGTAAGGGCTTAGCTCTCAAAGCTGTTGTAGTCAAGGAAAGAGAAGAAAGCGATGATGATGAAGGTCCGTTGGCAGATAATAGTGAGTTGAAAGAAGCACTAGCTCTAATCGCGCGAAACTATAGGAAGATGAGTCAAAGGTTGTACAAGAACAAATTTGCTGAAAAAAAGGGGAACAACTTCAGCAAGAATGTGGTGCAGGACAAGAAAAGTAGTATGCCACTCTCAAAATCAGATTCACAACGAGTTGAGAAGGATCAATGCAGGGAGTGTCAAGGCTTTGGACACTTCCAGTGTGAGTGTGCAAATCTTAAGAAGAAGAATAAGTTACTGAAGGCAACCTGGGAAGATTCGGATGAAGAAGGTACAGACGAACCTTCTTTGCACACAAGCAACTTGGCAGTCCACACCTCAGTCAAGAAGTTCATGTGTCTCACCACTTCTCATGCTCCGACCAAGTTTGAAGAAAGTTTGAAAGAAACTGAAGCTTCTGAGGATGAAGCAGATCAAAATGTGTATGTAGATCCAGTACACTTACTTGCTATGGAAAAGTGTGCTCAACCATCTGAAGCTCTACAGAAGCTTCAAAATGAAGTGTTTAGACTTTCAAGAGCAAACAGTGTGCTGAACGAACAAGCATCCGCCTCCACTGCCATTAAAGAGTGTGAACTGGATACTGCAAGGGCACGAACCTGCATCCTTGAGAGCAGTGTCAAACTTGCTAACAGGAAGGACTGGAGAAGGCTCAGACCATTGAATGCTTGAGGACCGAACTATTCTCTACTCAGAAACTTCTTGCCGAGCGGAACTAGGAAATCATGCTACTGAAAAATGAAGTTGATCGGCTGATGAACGAACATGCTAGCATGGGAATCAAACTAAAGGAAAATTCTGCAGAGTTGAACTGAACTGCAGAAGTCGTTCGAAAACTGAACAAGGGAAAAGCAGATCTGAATGAACTTCTTTTCTTGGGAAAACAGCATGGTGATCTTACTGGAATAGGGTATACTGGTAGGGAAGACATTCCTGAGTCCTTAGCTGGAACTTCAAATACAAAACATACCGGTCTTGGATTTGGGGACAAACTTGGAGTTGGAGGTGTGAACCTGTATGGGAGACCTTTCAGAAACATGTTTGACAGGTTTGTAAAAAGCACTGTAAGTAAACCTCTATCTCCAAAATCTCCCTTGAAGGTTCATTCTTCTATGCAGAAATCTGTTAATAAAACTTACCATCACTTTGTTCCTATCTGTCATTATTGTGGTGTAACTGGTCACATAAGACCCAAATGCTATAAAATGCAGCATGATCTTTGTACAGGTAATGTTAGGGGTTGGAATCAGTCTGGCATTCCAGTGAAAGTTCATGCCAGAACCCTCCCAAATGACTGTACCAAGACTCATCAAGTGTGGGTTGCTAAAAAATCCTTCAACTATTTTGCCTTTGTTCTGTCTCTCAGGACTTCCTTGAAAGGTAAATGGTATCTGGACAGCGGCTGCTCTATACACATGACTGGTGAACCTTCTTACTTGATGAACATTTAGCCCAGTTCAAATAGGGAAGTCACGTTCGGTGACGGAGTGAGCAATAAGGTTATTGGAATTGTTTAAATTTTGGTGGAATACCTAAACTAACTGATGTATTACTTGTTGATGAACTAAATGCAAATCTCTTGAGTGTGAGTAAACTCTGTGATCAAGGCCGTAGTGTCAGTTTCGCATGTGATAAGTGTTATGTGAAAGACAGTGAAGGTTCTTGTGTACTTACAGGTTCTCGTTCAACAGATAACTGTTATCTTGTTGATTTTAATGAAAAATGCCTTTTCTCAAATGTGAGCGAACCTGAAATATGGCATCAATGCTTAGGGCATATTGGAAACTCTCACCTTGTCAAATTGACCAATGTAGGTGTAGTCAGGGGTGTTCCAAAGGTTGCTGTGAAGGAGCAGCCAATTTGCGAACCATGTTAACTAGGTAAGGAAACGAGGACATCACACAAGTCACTGAACCATATTGCTTCTAAACAGATCCTAGAACTTCTTCACATGGATCTCATGGGTCCTATTCAGGTAGAAAGCTATCAAGGTAAAAAGTATATTTTTGTGTGCGTTGATGATTTCTCTCGATATACTTGGGTTAATTTTTTACGTGAGAAGTCTGACACATTCACTGCCTTTAAGTCACTTTGTTTGAAGGTTCAAACTGAGAAAGGTTTTCTCATAATAAGTATTCAATGTGATCATGGAAGAGAGTTTGAAAATTCTGAGTTTGCTGAATTTTGTGATTATCTGGGTATTAGTCACGAGTTCTCAGCTCCTAAAACTCCTCAGCTAAATGGAGGTTTTGAAAGGAAGAATCGCACTCTACAAGAAATGGCAAGAGTCATGTTGAAATCCAAAAACATTTCTTCCAGATGGTGGGCTGAGGCAATCGATACAGCATGCTACCTCATGAATCGTGTGTACCTTCGTCGAGATATTGGTCTGACTTCATATGAACTCTGGAAAGGTAAGAGTCCTAACCTCAGTAAATTGCATATTTTTTGGTGTAAATGTTTTATCTATAATGATCGTGTGCAACTTGGGAAGTTTGATGCAAAATCGGATATTGGATTCTTTCTTGGTTACTCTAACAATAGTCGAGCGTATCGTATTTACAACACAAGTACCTCCACTGTGATTGAGTCCATAAATGTAATCTTTGATGAAAAAAATTCTCAAGTTAGTTCTTCTGTATCTTTTAATCAGTTTGAAACTGTTGAGGCATTGTAGGATACTCAGGGTGTTAAGAGTTCTGCGGACAAGGAGATAGCTTCGGTTGGGGATGCTGAAACATCAACTGACTACATTGTCCCTGCGACTCAAGAAGGTTCTGTGTCACTTAGGTGTGATCCTCCCTTAAGGTTTCAGAAAGACCATCCATCCGAGCAAGTCATTGGTGACATAAACGAGAGAGTAACCACAAACTCGAAGACGTCAGTCAAAGAACTTATGGGTGTTTCTCATTATGCCTGCTACACCTCACTCATTGAACCCAAGAATGCTAAAGAGGCTCTAAAAGATGAGTGCTGGATCTTAGCTATGCAGGCGAAACTGGAGCAATTCACTAGAAACGATGTCTGGGAGTTAGTCCCTGAACCTTCATCAGGAAATGTTATCGGAACCAAGTGGATCTTTAAGAACAAAACTGATGAGTTCAGGAATGTGACACGGAACAAGGCGAGACTAGTTGCTCAAGGCTACACTCAGACTCAAGGGATTGATTTTGATGAAACCTTCGGCCCCGTTGCTAGACTTGAATCTGTACGCATATTTCTATCTATTGCTTGTCTAATGAAGTTCATTGTTTATCAGATGGACGTGAAGTCTGCCTTTCTGAACGGGATATTACATGAAGAGGCATACGTAAAGCAGCCAGAAGGGTTCAAAGATCCCAAGAATCCGAATCATGTCTACAGACTTAAGAAAGCATTGTACGGATTAAAGCAAGCGCCTCGTGCGTGGTATGAACGCCTTACCATGTACCTTCTGGAAAAGGGATTCAAGAGAGGATGAGTAGATCAGACATTCTTTGCTCTTCGAACGAATGAGGACCTATTGGCAGTTCAAATCTATGTCGACGACATCATCTTTGGATCAACATCCAAGAAGCTGGTCAATCACTATGTGAAACTTATGTCGTCTGAATTCGAGATGAGTCTCGTCGGTGAACTTTCGTACTTTCTTGGACTTAAGGTAAAGATGGTATTTTCTTGCATCAGGGTAAGTACACAAAAAACCTTGTTAAATATTTTGGTCTTGAAAATGCTAAATGTCCTCAAACTCCCATGGGCACTCATGTAAAAGTGTCCAAAGATAATGAAGGTACATCTGTTGATCAAACTCTATACAGAAGTATGATTGGTAGTCTTTTATATCTCACTTCTAGTAGACCTGACATTTGCTTTAGTGTTGGATTGTGTGCCAGGTATCAGGCTGCCCCCAAGGAATCACATATGAAAGCAGTAAAGCATATCATAAAGTACATTGGAGGTACAATAGAGTATGGTCTATTCTACTCTGCTGATACGAACTTACATCTTGCAGGTTATTGTGACTCTGACTGGGATGGAAATCTTGATGATCGAAAAAGCACCTCTGGTGGGTGTTTTTACATAGGATCAAACTTGGTATCTTGGTTCTACAAGAAACAAAACTGCATCTCCCTTTCTACTGCTGAAGCCGAGTACATTTCCGCTGGAAGCTGCTGCTCACAGTTGGTATGGATGAAACAGATTTTATCTGAGTATGGTATGAATGTTCATTCGGCTCAAATTTTCTGTGACAACACTAGTGCTATAAATATTTCAAAAAATCCAATCCAACACTCTCGTACCAAGCATATTGACATTCGGTATCATTTTATTCGTAATTTGGTAGAAGATGGAATTATTGTGTTGGATCATGTACCTACAGATAATCAGCTTGCTGATATTTTTACTAAAGCTCTTGATTCGAAACGATTTTTGTCCCTGAGAAAATCCTTAGGAATGTGTGCTATATAATCTATGTGCATTGTGTCAGTTGTATTTCTATATATATATATATATATATATATATATATATATGTGTGTGTGTGTGTGTGTATGTGTGTGTGTGCGTGTGTGTATATCGTGTCTATTGCATATAGGATCTCTTCTACTTTTTGGGCATCTTAGTATGTAGGTTCATCCCTAGAATTCTTCTCTGATTGTTTATTGTTGAGTTTGTTGATTGGTATCTATGAATTCTAACTGGTCAGTTTGTAAGAGCTCGTCATAATGACCATTTTAATATACTTGTAAGAGCTGCTCTCGTGAAAATATGCATCGGGCAACTATCACATGAGGTGCTTCCTTGATCACATGTGAAACGAGTTATGTGCCTAATAATAATCGAGGTGTGATAGATACAGGTAAACATTCTAAGAATGAACGTTCTCTGGTGAAATAAGGCTGGTCATCCTGATATCTTCTCAGCATGTTAAAAATTAAAACTTTTTGCGGGATGATTCACACCTCAAGTAATGGGCTTGACATTGGCGTATAGTTGATGTTAGTAAGTGAATTGGTGTGGAAGTTCATAGAAAGGAATAAGTTCATAATAAGTATTGGGGCTGAATTGCGAACGAAAATTTTGCTTTTTGCTAAGAGAAAGTGATGAACGAACTTATATTAATTCCGTGTTGTATAAAAGTGGGAGCAATAAGGGATGAGTTGTACACGAAGAGAATTTATTTTTCTCATCATCTTGTTAGTGTCGAGCTCGTTTCAAATTGATTTGGGAAGATCTGTGGGTCAATCAATTAATGGATTTTTTCAATATTGCATGAAAAGAAAATTTTAGGGTATTGCGTGTTACATATCTTATTTAGGCATGTGCATCCAGTTTCTCTCATGGAATATATTATTTCGATCTTGAGCCTAAAATTATTTTTGGTACATGATTTCGCTGATAATTTTTGTCTGAAACTTCATGCGTTATATATGGTAACAGTGTTAATTAATTTGGTAAGTAATCTGTTTGGAGGGAATGGTTTTTTTTTATGACCTGCGTGGTATTGGTCAAAATTTTGAATTTCAAATATTGTGAGTCGAACCGTCTTGTAACCGACCTTGGTAACTGTGATTTAAGTTCCTTATATTAATCATACCACCTTTTGCATCTCTCTCATATCTATTTCAATCTTTTATTTTTGTTATCTCTTCCAACTACTCTAACATTCCTTCTTCAAGAGAACCTCTATTTCTCGACAATGCCTAAATCCAAGCAGGGCACCGTGAAGCCGAAGAAGAATGTTCCTCCGCCATCTCGGCGCTCAACTCGTCAAAGCCAAAGTTCCGATACTCCACAAGATCCAAATCCTTCAACCATGGCAACCGAGAACTTTTAACCTCCTGTTAAATCCACAACTAGGGTTTCTCTAAGCCCTAAAAAATCCTCAACAACGAAGGTTTCTCAACCAGAGGTTGCCAACCCCAGTAAAAAAAGAGAAAAAGGTTCTCCCACTGTCGTCAAATCTCCAAAGAAGCGAAAGAAGGTCGCCGAAACTGCTGCACCAAAAACCAAAAAGGCGAAAAAGGTCGTTCATGTGCCTGAACCTGCTAATGGTACTCCTTCTCACACGAAATCTGGAGGAGAGTCGTCTCCGAATTCTGATGCTGATTCTGTTGAACGTGAGGTTACCAACTATGTTGTTGAACCTGAGAAATCAGACAACGTACATGCTGCGGACAAGGAACTTTCTCCTCTTGAGAAAGGAAAAATCGTAGCTGAAGTCGAGGGTGATTGTCCAGACAGTGCTCTTACTGTTGGTAATGCTTTCTCCCGTCAGTTTTATTCTCCTTTGGCTGACACACGTTTTTCTACCATCTTTTCTCAAATGAAGTTTCGTCCTGAGCAGACGATTGATAGCGAACATTATGAACAACTTGGGTTGCTTGAACTTCTGAAGAAAGTGGGTCTTGAGGGTTCAGTCACGTCTGTTGGGAAGTATTGTCCCTGACTTGTTGGTGAATTTTATTCGAACTTGACTACCTCTGTCGTTGATCCGTCCTCAAAGAAGTTTCAGAAAGTGTTTGTGCGTAATAGTGTGGTTGATTTCTCTCCATCTGTGGTGAACTCTGTACTTGGTTTAGCTGAAGGTTCCTCTCTTCGACCTCTGACTGATGATATTGATGAAGTTGCTCGCACCTTGACCGGTGGACAACTAACCAAATGGCTTGCTCCGGGAATCTTTGTGAAGAGTCTAACTCCGCCTGCTAACGCTCTACAGAATATAGGAGCGTCATATTAGACTCCTACCACTCACAAGCAGTTTGTCACCCCTACGCAAGCTCGAGTTATCTATCGTATTCTGAGCGGTATCCCATTTGATGTTGGTTCTGTGATCTTTGATGCTGTTGTGGGCTTTGCGGAAATCTCCAAGCCTCATAAGTTGATGTTGTACCCATCTACCATATGTGTTATTCTCTTCGAGGCTGGTGTGAAAATGGATCCTCGACTTGGTGATAATTATGCACCTATTAACAAACCTCTTGCCCTTGCCGGTGTTAAGGTTGCTCCTCCTCGTCCTTCTCTTGTTAAGACCTCTGATGTACCTTCAGGCTTCGCGGCTTTTTAAATCAGCAAGTGGCAGTTCTCGAGGGACTTGAAAAGAAATTGGCTGATCAGCGGAGATACTAGAAAAAAGGTTCTGGGTGCCTTAAAGTCTCGTACCCCTTTGGTCTCTAAATTCAAAAACGGGGAGAAAAATAAGGATGTTGCTGCGGTTGCTAAGGGGGAGACGAAAATAGTGGGTGCTGAAGGAAAGAAGAAAAAGGTTGCTGCTGCTACTCAAAAAGGGAACGAAAAGGTCATTGCTGCCAAAGAAAATGAAAAGGAGAAGGTGGTGGAAGTGGAAGAAGGTTTTGATGAAGAAGAGAAAGAAGAAGAAGTTGGGTCTGATGAGGAAGAGGAAGCAGGCTCAGAGGAAGAGATTGGGGATGTCACTGAAGAAGGTTCAGGGGAGGAATCTGAAGAGGAAGAGTTTGGTTAGTCAATCTTCAGCTGGATATTTATAAAAAAACTCTGTTTTGTGTGCTTGTTTGAACTCCTTCCTTTATGTCTTATTATATTACGTTTGATGAACCTTTGTGGGATATTTTGTAAACTAATGTGCTGTTATTCAGATATTTGAAGTTGTTCCTAAGAACAACACATGTGTGATATTAGTATTCTTAGGAAGTTGTGTATTCTGTAGTATTTGTATTTCCTTCGTCTTTGCAGGTTCATGGTTTTCTATTTATCTGCCAAAGGGGGAGATTGTAAGTGCTAAAGATTGGCAGTAAATCGATGAACCTTCTGATGATCACAGAGTCTAGAAATTCACGGAAGTATTTAAGGGAAGTTTATTTTTGGTATGAATAAGTTTTGATTGTATTTAAGTTCAAGGGACTGATTATTTATGTTATTATTATGGCAGGACTTTGGGATTGAGGGGGAGATACACTTTCCATAATTTAAAAAGAAGGAGGATCGCGAGATTCACCTTCCATAATCGAAGATGAAGAAGTTCGAGAGAATTTCTTATCCGCATTTGTCTTGGGTGAAAAGACTTTCCAAAGGATGTTGAAGATAAAAGGAGGACGAGACCAGAGTTGAGGATGACTTTTTTTTATTGGGATTTTTTAGTTTTGATGTTTTTCTTTTCTTGAGTGATAGGCAGAATACATAACTTCTTTGTAACAGAATGTTCGGAGGTTCATTCTGATTTAGTTTGAGGGATTCGAACTAGAAAAATCCACAAAGGAGTTGTGGTTAGATAAGTAGTTGTGTGAATCATTATTCAAGTAGAGTGTAGAGGGAGTCTATACTGTAAACCCTTGGATGATGTATGAGTTGTTCACATTAATGAAAGA